AGCACGCGCAGAAACCGTATACAAATCCGATGTATCACGTCTGCACGGACAGAACCCGTATGCGAATCGCACACGAAAAAAAGGTACACAATACATACACGAACCGTATACGAAACGCACGAAACGTGTATATAACACGTAGAAGAAACATGTACGAACCGTTTACGAAACGAACAGACAAGCACATGAACACAATACAGAAACCATGCGGACCGTGTATAACTCCTACACGAAACGTGAAAACAACGTGTACGGAACGCATGGCACACTACGCGTGGACGAACATATAAAACACACAAGAAACGTACATGAAACGGAAAGATCGCCGTACATGAACCGTATACAATACATACATAACACGTATACAACACGTACACGGCATGTGTACGACACTTTCTGAAACGTACACGAAACGCATGGATCAAACTACACACGAAACGTATTGACATATATGTGCAATGCGTATACGGCGCGTATGTGACACGAATGCAGTGCGCATGCTGTACGTATACGAAACGTAGATAACCGTATGTGGAGCGTCCACACAACACTTACATGATCATGTGCGAAACGTACATAAGGCGCACGCGGGATTTATACCCAACAAATGCAAAACGTATGCGGCACGTGCATACAACGTAAACGAAACGTCCATAAACCGTACACGGCACGTATGCGAAACATATACTACACGTATGTGAACCGTATGCGCAACACCTTACGAAACGTATGCAATACCCACACGAAACGCAGACGACACATAAACGACACGTATACGAACCGTAAACAACACGTACCACACAGCGGGCGCGGTACTTATTCGAACACACATTCAACACGTATACAAAACGTGTGGGAAGCGTGTGCGTCACGTACACGAGCCGTCTGCAAAACGCTCACGAAACCTGTACGACACGAATTTGAAACACATGCGTACCATGTACAAACATGTTTACTGTATTTGAAACGTATTTGCAACGTACAATGGCCGTGTACGACACGTACACGAAACGTGTACGAACTGATTAATCACTTGTGCACGACAGATTCATGAACGTATAGAAAGCGTGGGCGGACCGTGTGCGACCTATGTACATTTGAATAAATAAACAACTTGTAAAAACGATGTGGCTAACACGTATACGGGCGGTATACGATACGAAACCCATATGGCACGTACATGCGCGTACACGAAATCTACACGCAACGTGTAGGACACGTAGAAGAAACGTGCACGACACGTGAATGAACTGCATGCGAAACGAATAGGAACCGTACGCGAAACGCATACGATTCGTATCCGCCACCTTGCCTTTGGGTAAGGCGTGGGCGTGTCCTCAAGTTCTTCGCCGCATCCCGCAAGCCTCGGTCGTCAATCCTGGGAAATCTCTTTGGGGCTCAGAGCCCGAATTGCCAAAGCTCCCGGGGCTTGCCGCGGCTTCTCGCATTTCTCGCGTGACTTTTCCGGCCCAAGAGGGCCCCAACACGGGCCAAGAGGGGCTCGAGACGCCTGAAGATCGATCCAAAACGCCCAAGGTGGCCCCGAGACGGTCCAAGAGGCCTCCAAGACGCCCCAAAAGGCTTCCGAGCGCCCTCCCAGGAGGGCCCCGAAGAGACCCAAGTCATAGATTTTCTTGGGCGGCCCAAGAGGGCTCCAAGGCGGCCCCAAGGGAACATGAACCGACAATCCGAGCCTTCCGCCTCAAGAGGCCCCCAGGAGGTCCCAAGGAGGCACCAAGAGGCCCCCAAGAGGCCCAAAGGAACCCCAAGAGGTCCCGAAGACGCCCCCAAAGGCACCAACACGGTCCCTGCGAGTCTTCAAAACGGTCCCGAAGAGGCACCCGAGAGGCCTCCCGCGACATCCCAACGAACATACAAGAGGCCGATGGGCCACCACCCAGGAACGGTGGCGTGATGGAGCGAAGACCATTCGATATCAACCATGTACAAGACGTGTACAACACGCATCCCAAACCTGGACGCAACGTACTTAAAACGTACACAAAACGTGTATACGAAACGGAACGTGCCAGAACGTTAAATGAAAAGTATACCAAACATACCTAAACGACCAGCCTTCGGGTGATAAAGAGGTTCAGGGGGGCAAAAACGTGTGAAGCCGACCGCGATGCTTGTGATTGTGACGGTGCTGGTGATGCGCTCACTAGTTGGATACGATGCGCGATGACGACGACGGTGGGAATTCGTGATGGCGAGTGTGAAGGTGGGTGGCGCACGGCGACGACGCTGTCGACGAGCGGGGCATCGCAAGCGGGCCGCACGCCGCAACAGCAATGCACTACGCAACCTCGGCCTGCAGACGACACACCAAAGACTGCGCCACCTCACCGGTGGTGCTGGCGATGGCCACGATCTCCCGTTCACCTCGATCTCAAACCCCCGAGTCCCGATGTCGGTCTCACTCGCGATCCTGGAAGCCATGTGGACACGGTCGGGGCACAGTCACACCATCAAAGCACCATCGGGGCACCATCGGAACACCATCGGGACACCACGGGACGCCGCGGGACACCGTCGGGACAACACACGAACGCCACCAACACACCAACGGGACACCAGTCGAACCAATCGGGACACCACCAGGGCACCATCGAGACACCATCGACGCACCACCAGGACACCATCGGGACACCAATCGGGACACCAATCGGGACACCACGGGACACCATCGGGAACCCACGGCGGGACACCCCACGGCCACCGCCCGACACCGCGGCCGTGGGGGGCGGACTTCTGTCCTCGCCGCGTCCATGCCAAAGGACAATATGTTATTCTCGCCCGCCCACGCAGCTTTGCCTCGCCCGCACGCGCAGCATGAACCCGAAACCGGAAACGATTTCCCGGAGGGGGCTCCCCGTTCAACTTCGATCTCCCCCCCCCAGCCTCCGATATATGTATGTATGTATGAATCCACATATATATATATATATACAAACCTGCATTGGCGCTTCGCAAAATGCACCTAGATCCTGGAAATTTGGTATGCAGGCGGACTGGCAGGAACATCAAGCCGACAACTTATCGATAACTCCTTGTTGCCTTTTCCGGCATCGCGGTTACAATCGCCGCGTCCGAGCCTCCGAGGCGGCTTCGGACGCCCAGAACACCGCCGTCTTGGAGAGTCGGGAAGCCGGAAAGAGGAGAACCCCCGAATTTACCAAAAACAAACTGAAAATCAAGGACTTTTGCCTCTTGGGGCCTTCTTGGGAGTGCTCTTGGAAGCCTCTTGGGACGTTTTGGAGCGATCTTTGGGGGTATGACGGCCTCTTTGGGGTTCTCCCGGGTCGTCTGGAGGGTTGCCCGAAAAGCCCAGAGTGGGCCAAATTCGTTAGGGGGGGGGCGTTTTTTCTGGGGTCCCCAGCTCTATAGAAATAGATGAGTAGGAATACAAAAAACTGCATTGGCGCTTCGCGCCATGTACCTTGGTCCTTGAAGTTTGGTATGCAGGCGGAATGGCAGGAAGGTCAAGCCGACAATTTAGCGATAACTCCTTGATTCCTTTTCTGGCATCGCAGTTATATAAAGCAATTCGTTATCCTTCCTCCATGTTTCTTCTTCTCAGTCTCGCCATACCCTGCGTGTTCACCCCATCCTCCACAGCTCTTTTTGCGGATGCTCCTCCTTGGAGAGCCTCTGGGGGCCTCGCAAAAGGGTTTGGGGCTTGCTAAAGGCCTTCTGGAGGCCTCCTGGGCATCTTCTGGGGGCCTCTAGGGGCTTCCTCGGGCCACCCTGCCTCCAACCGCGGTCTCCCTGAACAACCAGTTCACAAGTTGAAATGCTTCTGGTGGTGTCTTGGGGCCATCTTGGGCCGTCATGGGGCTCTCTCAGGCCTTCTTGGGACCCTATTGTGTCGTCTTGGGGCTCTCGTGGACTGCCTGGAAGCACTTTCGGATGGTTGTGGGGCGATTTTCGAGTATATTCACATATGTATGTATGTATGTATGTATGTATGTATGTATGTATGTATGTATGTATGTATGTATGTATGTATGTGTGTATATGTATGTATGTATGTATGTATGCATGTACCTACGTATGTACGTACGTACGTACGTACGCATGTATGTATGTATGTATGTGTATATATGTACGTGGATGCGTATGCGTATGCGTATGTGTATGTGTATGTGTATGTGTGTATGTGTATGTGTATGTGTGTATGTGTATGTGTATGTGTATGTTTATGTGTATGTGTACGTATGCATGTCTGTATGTATGTATGTGTGTGTCTGTCTGTCTGTCTCTATGTATGTATGTATGTGTATATATATGTGTGTGCAGATGCATGCAAGTATGTATGCATGTATATATATATATATTTATATATGTATGTATGTGTGTGCATATGTCTGTCTGTATGTCTGTCTGTCTGTATGTATGTATGTATGTGTATGTATATAGTTGTAAACAGATGTACAGAACTGCACTGGCGCTTCGCAAAATGCACCTAGGTCCTTGGAATTTGGTATGCAGGCGGACTGGCAAGAACATCAAATCGACAATGTATCGATAACTCCTTGTTGCCCTTTCCGGCATCGCGGTTACAATCGCCGCGTCCGAGCCTCCGAGGCGGCTTCGGACGCCCAGAACACCGCCGTCTTGGAGAGTCGGGAAGCCGAAAAGAGGAGAACCCCCGAATTTACCAAAAACAAGCCGAAAATCAATGACTTTTGCCTCTTGGGGCCTTCTTGGGAGTGGGACGTTTTGGAGCGATCTTTGGGGGTATGACGGCCTCTTTGGGGTCGTCGTGGACCGTCTTGGGGCTCTCTGGGGTCGTTTCGGGTGCGCGCCGTAACGCCTGGAGCCCTCTGGGGCCGTCTTCGGGCTCTCGTGGGGTTCTCCCGGGTCGTCAGGAGGGTTGCCCGAAAGGCCCGGGGTGGGCCAAATTCGCTAGGGGGGGGCGTTTTTTCTGGGGTCCCCGGCCCTGTAAAAATATAAATAGGAATACACGGAACTGCTTTGGCGCTTCGTGCCATGCACCTTGGTCCTTGAAATTTGGTATGAAAGCCCAATGGCAGGAAGGTCAAGCCGACAATTTAGCGATAACTCCTTGATCCCTTTTCCGGCATCGCAGTTATACTAAAGTAATTCGTTATCCTTCCTCCATGTTTCTTCTTCTCATTCTCGCCCTGCCCTGCGAATTCTTCCCCATCTTTCTCAGCTCTTTTTGCGGCGGCTCCTCCTTGGAGAGCCTTTGGGGGCTCGATCGGATCGATTTTTGGTCGCTTCCTGAATGCCTGGAGGGCTCCAGACAATCAGGAAATCTTCGATCGTCGATCTTCGAATCTAAATCCATTGTCTGTCTCACGATCGAGAAACTCAAACCTCGAGCCTCAATCGTGGAACCAAGATCGTCGGGTCAGCTCGATGTACTTCGTAGAAAAAACGCCGTCTGGGCGTTTTGGGGGCTCTTTTGTGCCGTCCTGGGGCCCGCTTGGGCCGTCCTGGGGCCTTCTTGTGCCGTCTTGGGGGGCTGGGGCCCTCAAGAGGTCTTCTGAAGCCATCTAGGGCCCTCTTGGGGGCCTCCAGTGGCCTTCTTGGGGGTGTCCCATGGCTTTCGTGGGTCTCTCTTAGGAGCCTTCCGGGGGCATCTTGGGCTTCTTGTGGGCAGTCTCGGGGCTCTCTGGGGCAATCTTGGGGCCCTCCTGGGCCGTCTTCAACCCCTCTGGGGGGCCTCTTGGGCCGTCTTGGGGTGATATCGGGGGCCCATCGGGCCGTCTTGGACGCTGCGAAGACCCAACACGCGGATATGCTAAATATATAATTTGTCCGAAGAGGATGGTGCGATTTTTACTTCTTCGGGGCTCTCTTAACGGCTTCTTGGGGCGTCTTGGGGGCCTCTTGGGCCGTCTTCAGACCATCGAGGTTCCTCTTGGAGCGCTCTTGTGCTGTCTTTGGTCTCTCTTGCGCCTCTCCGATGACCCCTCTGATCGCCTTGAGTCTGCTCGCATGGCCCGGCAAGGCGGCCTGGGAGGCCTGGACGGGCCAGCGGACCTTTTCCAAAGGCGCCCAGGGGGCCGCCGAGACGTCCGAAAGGGCCCCTGGGGCGTCCCTGGGGGAGGGGGTCCGGTTTAGGGTGGGTGGGGGGGGGGTCCGGGTGATAGAAATATAAGAATAAGAATAAGTGTATGTATGTATGTATGTATGTCTGTATGTATGTATGTATGTATATATATATATATATATATATGTGTATATATATAAATATATGTATATGTGCACACACGCATAATTTTCTATATGCACACACGCGCATGTGTGTATATATGCATCTGTATATGCATGTACAATTATATGTGTGTATATTCATACACCTATATATGTATGTATGATCCTATTCAAATGTCATTATAAGCAAGGGACCCAGGAACAAGCCCCCCCCCCTCCCCCCTATACCGAATTTAGCCCACCCTGGGCCTCTCGGGCAACCCTGCAGACGACCCGGGAGAACCCCACGAGAGCCCGAAGACGGCCCTTTCTGTTGGTTTTTGGCGACTTTTGGGGTTCTCCTCTTTTCGGCTTCCCGACGCTCCAAGATGGCGGTCTTCTGGGCGTCCGAAGTCGCCCGGGAGGCTCGGAAATCGCCCCACAACCATCCGAAAGGGCTTCCAGGCAGTCCAAGAGAGCCCCAAGACGGAACAATAGGGTTCCAAGATGGCCTAAGAGATCCCCGTGACGGCCAAAGCTGGCCCCAAAACGCCCTCCGAAACACGAAACATTCCAAATCGTGACCCGGTCGTTCAGGGAGACCGCGGTTGGGGGCAGGGTGGCCCGAGGAAGCCCCCAGAGGCCCCCAGAAGACACCCAGGAGGCCTCCAGAAGGCTTTGAGAAAGCCTGACAAACTTCTGTGGGGCCCTCAGAGGCTCTCCAAGGAGGAGCCTCCGCAAAAAGAGCTGAGGAGGACGGGGAGAATACGCAGGGTTTGGCGAGAATAATGAGAACGAAGCATGGAGGAAAAATATCGAGCAACTTTATTATAACGGCGATGACGGAAGAAGCAACAAGGAATTATCGCTAATTTGTAGGCTTGCCCGAGGTTCATGGCGCGAATCGCCAATGCAATCTTGTAGATTTATATATGTATATGTATATGTGTAGTTGTTGCCCAACAAGTGCTTGCGCTTAGGGGGCCTTACTTCTCTTACAGGAGTTGGGCCGTGTGGTCGGCCTGGTGGCTGCGTTCCCGCCGTCGCCGCCCCGTCGCCGTCTCGTCGCCGCCTCGTCGCCGCCCGTCGCCTGTGCCGTGTGGTTGGTCTGGCGGCTATGTTCCCGCCGTCGCTGCCCTGTTGCCGTCTTGTCGCCGCCGTTGGACTGCACCCCGTAGATTGCACGAACATTATTTTGGTGCCTGCGGCATGCTCTTTGATCGCTCACAGCATAGATTGCACCACATAGATTGCACCACGTAGACTGCGCAACCACATAGATTGCACCACATATATTACAAAACATAGGTTGCCCAAATATTGCAACACATAGATGGCACGATCTGTCGTTTACGCCAACGGCGCGATATTGTTTCACGTAGACTGCACCACATAGGTCACATTACACATACTTCTCCACATCGCTTGCACACCAGGTGTTGTACCACATATATTGCACCACATAACTTGCACACAATATACTCACACAAACTATTGCGACACATTGATTGCCCTCCGAAAACGTCTTGGGCACTCTTGGAAACACATTCGGCCGTCTTGTCAGAATCTTGAGCCGTCTTGGAGCAGTCTTGGGCCGTCTCGGAATGCCTCCTGGACTGTGCTGGGGGTTCTTCGGGCTCTGTGAGGCCGTGTCGGAGTTTTTTGGGGGCCGTCTCGGAGTCGGAGAGGCCCAAGATCCCTGCCAACCCCATGGAGGCCTGGAGGTTTCTCTCAAGGCCCCCAGCCCAGGACCCTGGGTACATGAATATGAAGATGGCGACCATGACAGTCATGATCCTATTTGTAAATGTATGTATATAATGCAACATACTGGGGTATAAGAAAATGATTCCGTGGGGGTCGGATGAGGAGGGCGGGAATGATGATGCTGATGCTGATGCTGATGCTGATGCTGATGCTGATGGTGGTGGTAATGATGATGATGCTGCTGATGATGAGGATGAGGACGATGCTGATGATGGTGTGGACGGGGATACTGATGGAGGAGAGGGCATGCCATGTCCTTCTCTTCCTCCTGAGGTATGCCGGGATTGTCACTTTTTGTCGCTTCCTCATGGCCGCCGACGGCATCGTCGGAGCTCGAGGCCTGGCGGCCCCCTGTAAAGCGCAACGATCGTAGGATGGAGGAGTGATAACAACGAGGGAGGGTGAGGAGGAGGAGGAGGAGGAGGAGGAGGAGGAGGAGGAGGCAATAGGCAATATGCGAACCCTAGGGGGCTGTTGCTAGGCCTACGGGAACGAGTTAAAAGAAACAAGCCAGCACCTGAGTGGCATCAGTGATGTCGCTTCCCGCAGCGGTCGACGCTGCAGGTGGAACACGCTCGGGCGGGGAGGAGCACGGCCTGCCCAGAACTCCGACGCCGTGGTGTCTTTCACGACGTGGGCCCCCAGAAGTCCCGAGCCCTTCCTTCGGACCGGCTCTTCATCCCGAGCCGGTTCTAGACGGCCTGGGGCCCGGCAAGGGCCTCCCCGCAGCGGCCGAAGGTGGCCCCGGGGCCGGGTAGTCTTGAGCATCACGTTTCCCGAGTGCTGAAGGGGTACTCCCGTCGTGATGCTCTTCCGCAGCCCGAGAGAGTCGGAGGACAACTGGGATGGGAAGGCCCAGACGTACCCTCAGGACGATGCACCCTGGGTGAGTCGGGTCGGGCGAAAGGGGGGGATAGCAAAGGGGGGATTTGAGAATCAGCTCGCGTAGCTGATTTTCCCGGCGCCTCCCGGCGCCGGAGGCGACTATGTATCGAGGAATGGGCCCCTCGGTGGGGCCGAAACCAGCTGCATGCAGCAGATATTGTACCCCCCCCTTTCCCAATACCCCCCTTTCGTCCGGCCCGAGTGAGGTGTCGCTGCGGCCACGGCTCCCGCCGCGCTGTGCGCCCAGACCCTGCCTCTGGGCGCCTCGAGGTGGGCCCCCAGGCCCGTCCTGTCCGGGGGTGCGTCTGGCCTGCATGGCGGGAGGAGGGGCAGGACGTTGGAGGCGGCCAAGGGGCCAAGGGGTCTGAGCTGGCTGGGCCCCGAGAAAATCGGCCGGGAGGGGAGGGGGGGGATGACGGCAAATCCGCTCAGAATCCGTCCCAAGACCCCTCCCGGTGTCCGTCTGCGGCAGCTCTTCCCCCCCGACCCGCTCTTGATGCTCCCGGGACCCTCACGCGGCTCCCGAATGACGCTCCGAGAAACCCAACACCTCGAACCTGCCCCTGGTCGGAGCCAGTGCTGGGCCACCTCAGCTCCCCAGCCGGCTCCAATCGGGGGCGACGATGGGGGCGAGTAGCCCAGCGCAGAGAAACACATGTATCCACGGGCGCCGATGGTCCGAGGCCCCTCTGGCGAATACGTGCAATGCCCGCCCATGGGCTTGAGGGGCACTGCTAGGAGGGGACTGGCAGAGGAGGGGATGCACCGACCTGGAATCGGCGATGCATCGTCGACAGTTCGGCGATCAATGAGCCACTGGGGGCCGATCCTGGGCAGGTCGGGGCTCTCGGGCCCCTGTCGGCGATCCATTGGCGATGGGGGGTCGATGCACCACCCCTGGGCCTGTCCTCCCCTATCGTTGCCCCTGAGGGCTAGTCGCCCCTGTCGTCGCCCCAGATCCAAGCAGGATGCCTCGCTGGCCGCGGCCGCTCACCGGCGCCCGCGCCCGCGCCCCCGCCCGCCGCCCCCGCGGCGCGCGCCGCCGCGGGGCCCGCCGCGGTTGCGCGAGACGCGCTTCCGGGGCCGCCGCGGCTCGCCGTCGTCGTCCTCGTCGAGCGACCGCTTGCCCTCGTCGAGCCTCTTGCGCAGGAAGCGCCTGCACGGACCCCGAGCCCCCTCGGCTCGACGGCCTGGCCCCTGAGGGCCGCCACGGCGGCGCGGGAGGCCCGGACTGCAGGACCGAGGGCCTCTGGTGCGCTGTGGCAGGCACCGGGCACAGTCCTGCGGCCCAGCAGCCCTGGCCGCCTCGGACCGCCGCGGCGACGCCCTGGGGGCCCGGGCCGCCGCAGCCCAGGGAGCCCTCGGGGCCCGCGGCCTGCCGCCCCGCCGCAGTAGCGCGCTGCCGATGTTGGCCAGCGCCGGGGGCGCGGGAGCCGCGGGCGACGGCCGCGCCTCCCAGAGGCTCGGCGCCGCCTTATGACGCAGGCGGGTGCCGAGGGAAGCGGGCCCTGGACCCCATAGGGCCTTTCGCAGGACCGCTCCTCTCCGCCCCGAGCCGTCTCGTTCTGGACGGCCCCTCAGCGCCACGGGAGCCTAGAAGCGGCGCAGACCCTCGGGGCCCTCGGGGCCCTCTCCCAGGCACCCAGCGCTCCGCGGCCCTGGGGAGTTCCCGAACCTCTCCACCGAGCGTATCCCTGCGTACTGGATACATTTTATTTTTCCCTACCTAGGCTCTGCCTAGAAGGGTTCTTACTCTCTAGCTTAAAGGGGCCAGGCAGTGGAAAGCGCCCCGGGCGGTTCCCCCAGTCCCCTGGGAGCGGTTCCCCCCAGTCCCCTGGGAGCTTTAGCTTTAGCTTTAGCTTAGCTGTAGCTTAGCTTTAGCTTAGCGTTTCGCTTAGCTTTTCGCTTAGCGTTTAACTTAGCTGTAGCTTAGCTTTAGCTTAGCGTTTCGCTTAGCTTTTCGCTTAGCTTTTCGCTTAGCGTTTAGCTTAGCTTTAGCTTAGCTGCTGCTCAGCTTTAGCTTAGCGTTTAGCTTAGCGTTTAGCTTAGCGTTTAGCTTAGCTTTAGCTTAGCTGCTGCTCAGCTTTAGCTTAGCTTTAGCTTAGCTTTAGCTTAGCTTTAGCTTAGCTTTAGCTTAGCCTTAGCTTAGCGTTACTGTTACTACTAATGCTCCTTTCCTAGGGGTTCCAACTCCTAGGTAGGGTCGCACTGGGATATTTTTTTTTTGGGCGTCCTGGATACTTTTTTGATGGCCCCAAGGCCCGATGACGGGCCCCAGAGGTCGAGATCCAGGAACAACGCCGGCACGTCGTCAGAGACCTGGCCAGTGTCCAGAAGCCCAGAAGCTCTTAAGCTGCCGGCACCTCTTGCGAGGGGAGAGAGCCTTCTCTTCCGCCGGCCGTCCGCAGGCGGAGTCGCCCCTCCGCCGAGGAGGCGACGTCAACCCCTCCTCCGAGGAGGGGATGTCAACCCCTCCTTCGAGGAGGGGGCTGTCTTCCGCCGCCCCTCCGCCGAGGATCTACGAGCGCGTTCCGCTACTCGCAAAAGTCACTACTCGCAAATGGCCTGGATCCCCCGCGGGGGATCTACGATACATTACAGGAAAGCAGACATGTGTTTTTCGGACGTTTGCGAGTAGGCACTTTGCGAGTAGTGGCACGCGCTCGGCGAGAGGAGGGGACGTCAACCCCTTTGACCCCCGAGAGCGAGCCGAGGCCCTTGCCGGAGCGCCCCAAGGCCGACTTTCCCCCGCTTGGCTGGATGTGCACAGACTTCTGTGCGTAGAGGCCTCCTAGATGGGGTCGGAGGATCGTGCCGCATCGCCGATGCATCGGCGATACATCGAGGACGCATCGGCGATGCATCGGCGACGTCGGAGATGCATCGGCGACGTCGGCGTGGGGAAACACGGGCTCCACCTCCAGCCGCATCGCCGATGCATCGGCGATCCGGCGCTATCCTCCGACCCCATCTACTCGTATCCTTTCTAGGAGGCCTAGAAACGTTGAGCGCCAGCGGCGGGGTCGCCGCCAGTCGACACGGCGCGGACCTGCTGTGCCTGGATTCACGGGGCTTGCTCCCTGCGAGTTGGAGGCGGCCAGGGGCCCAGAGGGTCTGAGCTGGTCGGGCCCCGAGGACAGCGGCCCAGAAGGCAGATCCGCTCGAAATCGGTCCCCGGATTCCCCCATGGGCCCATCAAGTGCAACTTTTTTCGCCCGGGCCCCGGGCTCCGAAAGCTGCCCCCGGCGGCGGCAGCAGGCAGAAAGAACACCTTCCCGAATACCCCCCAAGTCGATAGCCGGCGGCGAGCGAGGGGGGGCGGAAATGAGAAGGAGAAGGTCTTCTCAGAAGACGGCTGGACTTTTCAGACATGCTCGCGCCTGCTGAGAAGTCTTCCGTACCTTCGGGGAAGGCTTCGTACACTTCTCAGGAGGTCGGGGAACCTCCGAGCCTTCTGAGAAGGCCCGCCTCTTCTGACTTCCCCTCCGGGCTCTTGGGCGCAAGTATACGGCTGGCGATCAATGAGGTCGGGAGAAAGGTGCACTTCCCGGGCTCCACAGGCCCCCGTCTGGGCCCTGAAGGGCTCCTTTCGGGGCGCATTTTTTTTGTGTGTGTTTTTTGTTTTTTGTTATTCTTTCTGCAGCCCTCGCTCCCCCCCCCCCCCATTCATCGACCCCCCAGTTACCGAGGCCCGGAGCTCGCCGCCAAGAGAGGAGGCTGTGAAGCCAGGGCGTTTGCCCCGCGGCGGGGGCCTCGCCGTGCGCACCGCCAGCGGGCGCCGTCTGCCCCGCCAGGTGCGCCGCCAGCTGCGACGCGGCAAGCGCGAGCGCCGCCGCCAGCGCCAGGGCGCGCGAGGCCGCCGCCGCTCGGCGCGTGGGTACCGCGCGCGCGCGCGGCGCGCGCCCGTGCGCCATCGCCATAGCTTCGGGGCTCCCCAGACCTTCTCGCGTCGCGACGGGAGGGGGTCCCAAATCTCAGGCGATGAGCTTTTCCCGGCCATCCTCCGGTGTTGGGTCCTCGCTTTGAGAAGACGACGCCCCGCGTCCCACCTCTTCCTCCTCCTCCTCCTCCTCCTCCTCCTCCTCCTCCTCCTCTCTCCTCCTCCTCTCCTCTCCTCCTCCTCCTCCTCCTCCTCCTCCTCCTCCTCCTCCTCCTCTCTCTCTCTCCTCCTCTCTCCTCCTCCTCCTCCTCCTCCTCCTCCTCCTGCTCCTCCTCCTCCTCCCTCCTCCTCCTCCCGCTGCCCCTCCTCCCTCCTCCCATCCCCTGCCCTCCGTGTGTCTCTGTTTCGGCACACCCCTCATTCGCTTCGTGGCTCCAGATGGGAGCTCCCCGGAGGGTCCCAGTGGCTGCGTTCGCATGCGGTTCCAATCCCCATCTCGGCGCACCTCTCACTCGCTTCGTGGCTCCATAGGGAGCTCCACCGAAGGCCCCAGTGGCTGCGTTCGCACACATTGAAGTATTCGAACCTCCATACTTCGATATAACAGCATTTCTAGACGAGCGCCCGCGGAGAAGAACACCGATGGGTTTTTGATATGGCAATCCCTTTTTTTTAAAGCCTGAAGCGCACGTGTACGGACACACATGACATCAACAAGTCTCTACGACGCAACTCTTGCCGGACTCGCCGACACAATTGAACGTCAGCTGTGCCGCATAAAATCCGCCGACCCTGTTGGCGTGTGTGGGGTGTCTGTCCAGTCCCGTCGACGGGGAGCCTTCTTTCGCCCCCTCCTTCCCATCCTCCTCTCCCGTCGGGGCAGAAAGAGAGAACACCCTTCCTCGTTCGGGGAACGGGTTCGCAACTTGAGGGAATTCCATCCACGTCCTCATTACTTCAAAAGGAAGCCCCTTCCCGTTGTCCCTTCCCCGGCGGGGGGGGGGGGCCCAGGGGGGGGGGGGGGGGTCAGATTCGCATCGCCTTTGGGGGTCCTCCTCTCCCACGTCGGTCCTTCTCTTCTCCGGCGCGCCCGTCCTCCTCGGGTCCTCCTCCCCAGGTGGGGAGAAGTCCCAGGGGGGGGAGGGGAGTCAGATACGCATCCGTCCCTGGGGGTCCTCCTCCCCCTCCCCTCCCCTCTCCCACGCCGGTTCTCCGCTGGTCCTCCTCCCCTGGGGGGAGGGGGTCCCAGGGGGGAGTCATTTTCCTCCTCTTCTCCTCCTCCTCCTCCTCCTTATCTCCGCCTCCTCCTCCTCCTCCTCCTCTTCCTCCTCCTCCTCCTCCCCCTCCTGGTCGTCGTCGATGTCTTTCAGGGTCGGCGGCACTGGCCGTCAGGCCTTCACAATAACATGTAATAACAGACTTTGTTCCTATAGTAAGTCGCCGCGCGTCTTGGGACATGGGCCGCTCTCCGAGGATGACCTCGAGCGACTGGGGCCTTCGGGGTCCAGGGCCCGCCGCCGATCTCTCGGCGACACACCGCCAGTTCCGAGTCAAAGTTCTGCCCCCCCCTTGCGAAACAGTGACGACGTCAGAAGCCCTCGCTGCGAAACAAAAAACGCGACGTCGGAGGTCTGGGTCGCAACGGGGCGAGCTGCTTGCCCACGGAGCACGCGCTCCCAGAGGCGGGTGCCTCCGCGCGGGGCCCCCCGGGCCACAACGGTCTGCGCGAGGGAAGGAAGAGGGGGAGGAGGAGGAAGAGGAGGAGGAGGAGGAGGAGGAGGAGGAGGAGGAGGAGGAGGATAAGGAGGACAAGTGTAAACCCTAGACTCATCAACGATGCTGAAATACGCCCTCCCTCTAAAATCCCTTTTCGCAGGCCCCTACAGAAGGGTCATTTTCACTGAAGGCATTGCCCCGTTGAGGGGCAACCGTGTGAACATCTTGAAGCGTGCCAAACACCATTCTCAAGACTTCAACGCCATGAGATGACCTGACTGTTACGTCTTGGCGGTCCTGAGTCGTGTCAGAACACCATTCCTGGGAGTTCAACACCGCGAATCAACGTAACTGTTACGCCCTGACAGCCCTGAAACGTTCCAGAGTGCCATTTCTTGTACGTGAACCATGGGAACCAGTGAAACTCTTGCAACTGTTTAAAGCGAATGTGCTCGGCGCTACCGCGAAAACCGCATTTTGAAAACGAACCAGCCCCAATGTGTGGAACTCTTATCAAATTTGTAGAACGACTGTGCGCGGGGCTACTGAGAGAGCCACATGTTGGAAACGACCCGCCCTCAATATGTGAAACTCTTGCAAACTTTTAGTACGAATGTGCGCGTCACTACAATGAGAACCACATGTTGAAAACCACCCGCCCTCAATCCGTGAAGCTCTTGCAAGCAATGAAACCCATAATGCGCGGCACTGAGGCGAGATACACATTTTGAAAACGACTGCGCGCGGCGCTAAGGCGTGAACCACATGTTGAACACGACCCGCCCTCAATCCGTGAAGCTGTTTCAATTTTTAACACGGATGTGCCCGGCGCTAAAGCGAGAACCGCATTTGGATAACGGCCCGCCATCAATCCGTGAAAACCTTGCAGCTGTTGTAAATAATGTGCGAGACGCTCATACAATAACCACATTTTGAAAACCACCCGCCTATAATCCGTGAGCCCCTTGCACATGTTTAAAACGAGTGCGCGCGGCGCCAAGGCGAGAACCACATTTTGAAAACTACCTGCCCTCAATCCGTGAAGCTCTTGCGAATGTTTAAAAACAATGTGCGCGACGCTACAGAGGAGGCCAGTTCACCAGAAACCTTCCACGAGAAACCCAACCCTGAGACCCCAGGACGTCCAATGAATTTTGGTGTGGGAGCGCCGCGCTTTCTTTAGCAAAACTATTGAAACCCAAGAAACCAAATGCAACCTGGAGGCAAGCAGGGTGTTTCTTGGCATGGGTCTCCACGGTAAGGCGAGAACCACAGTTTGAAAACGAGCCGTTCTTAATTTGTGGAGCTCTTAAAGTTATTTGCAACGAATGCGCGCGACGTTAAGGCGAGAACCACATTTTGAAAACCACCAGCCATTCATCTGTGAAGCTGCTATCAATTCTTCTACACCAGGGTCATAACTGGTGAAGAAATCTCGGCCCAAACGCCCAGCCCGACCTTTCGACTGGGCTTGAAATGCGACAGGGGGAGTTATCTAGAAGGAAAATAATGTAGGAGGAGGAAGAGGACGATGAGAAGGACGAGGAGGAGGAGGAGGAGGAGGAGGAGGAGGAGGAGGAAGAGGAGGAGAGAGGAAGGCGGAGAGGAGGGAGAGAGAGGAGGGGGGAGGAGGATGGAGGAGGGAGGGAGGGGGAAGGGGGGAGTGAGGGAGGGAGGGAGGGAGGAAAGGAGGAGGAGGAGAGGAGGAGAAAGGAAGGGGGGAGGAGGAGGAGGAGGAGGAGGAGAGGGGAGGAGACGGGAGGAGGAGGAAGGAGGAGGAGGAGGAGGAGGAGGCACCACTTCGCCGCAGGTTCTCCTCCTCAGTCTTGACCTGGACAGAGACAACGAGCAGCTGCAGCAGAGGCAGCAATTGCCCTCGCCCTTGCCCGTGCAACGCTCCGAACACTCGCGGGAGCCACGTGGCCCTGAGGGCGAACATGACTCCGGAAGCACATTGAAACAGCGGCGGCCCGTCCGCCGGGCTCGAATGCGCTAAAATAGGTCCCGGTCCCTCCTGGGATCCATTTTGACCCGAGGAGGAGGAGGAGGAAAAGGAGGAGGAGGAGGAGGAGGAGGAGGAGGAGGAGGAGGAGGAGGTCGGATCCAGCCCTGGCGGCGATACGCCTCCAGGAGGGCTCAGGTGGACGACACACGCCAGAAGGCCGCCGTCGTCTCGACTGGATCTCTGGTCCAAGCGGCTGGGTGTATCAGCGGCGCCGTAACGGGTACTCATACCGGGTACTTTGGACAATTGCCGGAAGTTGCCACTTTAGTGCCTCTTTGAGGCATTGCAGCGTTGCCCACATCGGGGAGGATTGGGTTCGCTGGATTACTGTCCAAAGTGCCTGTTAGTGGAGTCCCCATTAGAGAGACGCTGAGTGTAGGGCCCCCCACAGGCCGAACGTGGCGAAAACACGTCCTTCGGTTTTTCTCCCCCGTGACGTGAGGAGGTCTGGGTGTATCCGTCTCGTCGTCGTCGCCGTTGCTGCCCCCGCCGCCGCCGCCGCCGCCGCCCCCGCCGCCGCCCCCGCCGCCGTCGCCGTCGCCGTCGCCGTCGCCGTCGCCGTCGCCGTCGCCGTCGCCGTCGTCGTCGTCGTCGTCGTCGTCGTCGTCGTCGTCGTCGTCGTCGACGTCGTCG